CAGGGAACCACGGGGAATAACAGGGAACCACGGGGAATAACAGGGAATGACTGGGATTCACAGGGAATGATGGGGATTCACAGGGAATGACGGGGAATAACAGGGAACCACGGGGAATAACAGGGAACCACGGGGAATAACAGGGAATGACGGGGATTCACAGGGAATAAGGGGAATAACAGATAATCATGGGTAATAAGGGGAATAACAGGGAATCATGGGTAATAACAGGGAATCACTGGAAATAATAGGGAATCACAGGGAATCGCAGGGTATAAGGGGGAATAACAAGGAATAAGGGGGAATAACAGGGAATAATAGGGAATCACAGGGAATAATAGGGAATCACGGGGAATAACAGGGAATCACTGGGAATAAGGGGAATAACAGGGAAACAATGGGAATAACGTGGAATAACAGAATCAAGGGATAATAACAGGGAATCAAGGGGAATAAAAGCATTTCACGAAAAATAACTGGGAATCAAGGGAAATGACAGGGAATCAAGGGGAATAATCAGGAATAACAAGGAATAACAGGGAATAACAAGGATAAGGGGGAATAACAGGGAATCATGGGGAATAACGAGGCATCGCAGGGTATAACGGGTAATAAAAAGGAATAAGTGGGAATAACAGGGAATCACTGGGAATAACGGAATAACAGGGAATAACAGGGAATCACGGGAAATAACAGGGAATAACGGGGAATACATTGAATCACAGGGAATAACAGGGAATCACAGGGAATAACAGGGAATCACGGGAAACAATGGGGAATAACGTGAAAAAACAGGAAATCAAGGGTTAATACAGGGAATCAAGGGGAATAACAGGGAATCACGGGGAATAACAGGGAATCACGAAAAATAACATGAAAATCAAGGGGAATAACAGGGAATCAAGGGGAATAACCAGTATTAACAAGGAATAACGGTGAATAACGAGGAATCGCAGGGTATAACGGGGAATAACAAGGAATAACGGGGAATAACGAGGAATCGCAGGGTATAACGGGGAATAACAAGGAATANATCGCAGGGTATAACGGGGAATAACAAGGAATAACGGGGAATAACGAGGAATCGCAGGGTATAACGGGGAATAACAAGGAATAACGGGGAATAACAGGGAATCATGGGGAATAACAGGAAATACTAAGGAATCACAAGGAATAACGGGGAATAGCAGGGAATAACTGGGTCACCTGTGGCAGGAACATCTTCCCAGCTCCAAACAAATCCCCCACCACTTTCATGCCGTTCATCAGGGGACCCTCGATGATGTGAAGGGGCCGCTTGTAGCGATCCACCTGCGCCCGGCATTCCTCAACGTCATCCACCACATGTTTGTCTATTCCCTGTCAGGAACACAGCAGAGCTCCTCAGCGTTTTGCAGTGTACGGCGGTCCGTGGAGCTGAACCAGCCACAGCTAACTATAGGAACGCTGCAGAGACGCTAAAACTAAACAGCAGCATAGAATCTGAAAATCCTGAACTTTAACTTTTGTGGGATTTAAAGATGGAAAAGCTGTCAAATCTATGAAGTGAATTCTGTTCCATTATCTTTGATAAGGAAGAAAAAAGTCTCTTTGCCATTTCCTCTGATTGTGTTTTGTGAGGTTTTATTTTTTTAATGTATGTAAACATATGAGATCAATATGATATATTTTTAAAAACTTTTGTTACATATTTTACATTTGTTTTTCATCGTTCCCTTTTTCAGATTTAGTTTTACTCCTAAGCCTGCCTCCAGACGTGAAAAGGAAAAGAAAACAATTTTTAAAACTGAACCTGAAAAAGAGAAATTTCACGAAAAAATAAAATCAATGTCAAATATTTAAAATCTGTAAAACATTTTGAAGGAAAAAAAATCTAAAAATGGCAACTCTGCTCTCAAAAAAATTGTTGATAAAAAAGTTTTTCAAAGTTTTGTTTGGAAATGTTATGTTTTCAAAGTGTTTTCTGCCTAAAACATTAATGGAACAGATTTCACTCCATAGCTGAGCAACATCCAGGCCTGGCAGTACGGATTAGGAAGCACCTGGAGTCAGAATTTCAATCATAATGAGGGAAAGGAAAAAAACAAACAGTTTTCCTCAACATTATGTAGGACTTCTCCCTTGTTTCTGCTCCAGCAGACGAAGGTCGTTACCTTGATGAGAGCGTATTCCAACCGCTCTTCTACGCACGCGTTTCTCCATTCGTCCGTCTGGACCACCTTCTTCCCTCCTTTCACTATGTTCTGTTAAATAGAGGAAGAGTTCTGTCGGTCCAAGCAAGACTCGGAGCTCTGAGGTCCGGTCAGGATGGGATACCTGAGCATAGGCCAGGAGTCTATCTGTAGCGTCGGCTTCTTTGTTCCAGATGAGGTTCTCACACATCGTCAGCAGCTCCTTATCGATGTCGTCATAAACAGGAAGGTTCCCGGCGTTCACGATGCCCATATCCATCCCATCCTGCCAGGAAACGCAGGAAATTAGATCTCGCTTTTATCAAAACATCTCCAGGATTCATCGGCTCGCCAAACATTCCAAAAAATTAACCGGAAGAAGGATGCGAAGACCTCCGGGAAACAGAAACCATCAGAATTACTCAATTTTAAATGAAACCAACGATGAAAATACAAGAATCTACTCCTCCTTAGTTCAACACTAGTTCCACCAAACATAGAAAAATAGAGAGCCTTTACTTTGATCTATGAATTCACCTTCGTTGGGCTTTGAGGTAACGATAGTTTAATGAACATTCAATGATGCTCAGAAAGAATTCCAGACTTAAATTATATCTAAAGAAACCCTAGTTACAGACTGCTAGTTAATAAGGAGCCTAATGTAAAGACCATCTTAAACTGTTTATAAATGTGAGGAATAATGTGAGCATTATTCATGTATTAATCTTTTCCCTCTGAGAATCATTTGAAACACTGAAATGCAAGACTTAGGAGGCTCCACAGGTTCAGGGCGGCGCTGCTCTGCAAAGACTGATGGACTTCAGAATCAGGGATAAGATGTTCCGTCCGGTCCAATCAATTTATTAATGAGCATTAATTAACTGATTTGATGCTGATTTTGTTTTAGAGTGTTTGGGATTGAAGAGGACATCATGCACCTTTATGGGGCTGATTGATCAGTCACATCGGCAAAAAAAAAACGTTTTTTTCTTTATTTTTCGAAATGCGATGTGGGAATAAGAATAATTGTCTTGATGCCAAAAAGAGCCCAACAGATTTTACTTTCACAAGTGGAGCAGTACGGCTATCGCCATAGTGTTCCGCTTGATTTATGCATGTGAATAGCTTTATTATAATTAATGCAGGGAGCATTTATAGATTATATGGATACTGCAATGTAGGTAGAACAGGAAAGGAAAAACTGAAAAAAGGAGAAAAGATGAAAGAAAGAGGAGATAAAAGGGTGATAATCATAAAACAATTTCAGTCTGCTTCATCACCTGCTTAGAGATGTAAAAAGAACAGCACAACCAACAGACATAGTAGGAGACATACAATAAAGTAACACCTAGATACTATTGCTGAAGTATAAGTAGTAGTATTTAATCTGACATGTACTCTGTTACCTGAAAACCAGAATATGGGCTTACTGTATGGAAGTGAATCTCTAAGTACCTGGAACCAAGAACCAAGTAGTTGTTTGAGGCAGGCGCACTATATTATGTTTTGAAATAAATAACTGTTGCTTTAATTTTTTTTTATTCTTCAGTTTAAAAAACAAATGAATGTATTCTCCCACTCTGCAGAATCTGTTAGTTCAATCTCTAACCTTCTGCTCTCTGGGGCCGCCTGAGGAGCTGGTTCACATCTGCCTTTTGTATCTATGCTTCTATTTCTATCTGGTGAACTGTAAAGTGCCTTGAGATGACATGATGTGAACTGGCACTATAGAAATAAACTGAATAAATGAACTGAACTGAATGAAAAGTTGATTCTGGAGCAGCCCTAACAGCCAATTATTCAAACATTAATATTCATAACAATATATAGTCTGAGTAAATCACTCCTAAACGTAAAGATGTAGGAATATTTAAATTTCTTAGCTTAAACCAACATTTTGTTTCTGATTTTGTTCTTTATTGTTATGAAATAAAATGTCCCACTTCATTGCTTTTATTATTTAGAAAAGACACAAAGAGAAGGTAAGAAAAATATAACAATGGCACAAATAATAAGTACTGCCTTTATTTTATGTCTTTACTTAATTACTGAAGTAGGAAACTAGATTGTGGGGGGTGGGGGGGGCTAAAGAAAAGTCTAAGACACATTTATATTAACGTGCTAAGACGTGTCAGAGCGGCCTAGTTAAAGTCCAGATTTGAATTTCTGTGGCCAACCTTAAATACTGCAGTTGAATTTTTTTATATTTTAATTTCCTACTGGTTTATATCAGAATGTGAAACATCTGCAGGCTGATAAATGGAGGCGTCTTTCACAGCGCCACAAATCAGCATGTTGACCTTTGACATGTTCAGAATAAAGCTTCTAAATCCACCAACTCAGCATAATCTGACCACTCTGGGCTGAAGAGAGAACCGGGCCGATTGGAGGAGACAGAAAGGTGGGTGGCGTTGATGCTGTAAGCGATTACCTTGATGGCGTGATAGAGGAACGCCCCATGCATGGCTTCTCTGATGGCCTCCATCCCTCTGAAGGAGAAGGACAGGTTGGACAAACCGCCACTGACCCTGGCACCAGGCAGCGTCTCCTGAACACAAACAGAAAGGAACGGGACGGAGATCTTGAGGTAACGTTACAGATCTGATGGAGTCCAGTTAGCAGGAGCTGATCATGCCCTGACATTTTTTCTTCGTTCCGATGAGCAGGTGCCCCTCAAAAGCAAAAAGATTGTCGAACCATTTGGTTTTACTGGGACCTAAATTGTCATGACAGCATCCCACAATATTCTCAAATCTAGTATCTTTGAAGGTTCAGCTCTACAACCGTAATTTCTGATAGAATTAATAAACCAATTCGAAGGAAAATATAATGATGAACCCGTTCACAGTCTTCTGCAGGAGGCGGAGAATCAGGAAAAGATTTGAGGATGAAATCCATTAATTTGGCTGAAGATGCTGAAACTGTGTGATTGTGACATAAACTCTGTTAGAAAGGAGACCCTTATCAGCGCCACCAAAGAGCATCAGCTTACCTACTTATTCCCCGGCTCAGGAATGGGCTCACCTTTACAGGTGTCCTTGGTCCAACACACCTGATTCAAATAAGCTGGTGAAGATTCTCAGTCATCCAGGTCATTCCAAACAAAAAAGAAAATTAAAAACAATCGACTGGACTTTGTTTCCCACTTTTGTCCTTAGGATGCACTAGCCTCTGTCTGAGACAAACAGCCCCTTAAACAGAGACCAGTTCATCCTAAAGACCAAACATCCAGACCTAATCTGAGCGGAGTGATGTCTGCAGTTCAATGCAGTGACAAAGGACATTCATTTAGGACCAGAATGTTCACATTTTGGACAAAGAAGACAGGTGATTTCAGAGGGGCGTGAAGGAAGCCATCTATGTTAAGAAAGAAAAACCAACCTTAAAGAGGGGGGGGAGTCCTTCCCGCTATCATCGCAGCCCCAACCCCTTTAGAGGGAAACAGACGACCTCGCCTATTCAGCCAGACCAACAATTCCCTTTAACCACCCCCCTTTCAGAGACATAGACAGGTATAGGGGCATTGCAGGCTAACAAAGAACCCAAATGACCCCCATTCCAAAGTGGTGGACCCCTTCATCTGTTTCCATTTGCATGTTTTCTAAACCAAAACAAAGCTTTGTTGTGCTACTGTGTAAAGCCTGGAACTCAACACTATTTCTGACATTTTGAATTGAAAAAGCTTCCTGGATGGAAGAGAAACGTCTTTGAACTAGGGAACAAAGTCCAGTGGATTGTTTTTTATTTTTATTTTTTGACCTGATTCAAGTAATTAGATGATTAGGGCGCTAAGGAACCTGGCTGTGTTCGATTTCACCGACTGCGTCCTCCAAGGACCCGGTCTACCTGGACTGGGTCCTTGGAAGCAGGAAAGCAGTATAAGAATGGATGCCAAACTCCTCACCACTGTTCTGGGTGTTGATCACATTTCTGAGGAGCTTCAGCAGCAGTACCATCGTCTCAGATATCAGATTATATATATTATAGTCACTACAGAGCAGACATGTTCACAAGTCATTTTTTGCAAGTCCAAGTCAAGTCTCAAGTCTTGAGAGCTCAAGTCCAAGTCAAGTCT